GTCACATAGACATATACATAGACATTTACGTATACATACAAAAAGAAAACGCACACACACCTTTATATATATATATATATTTATATATATATATATAAACTTGGGTGGGCGTTTTCGATTTTGGAATGTAGACCTACAATTAGTGATACAATACCTGTTGGCGAGCCTTGTCTTCTTCCGGACTTTCCTGTTTATCTAGGAAATTGTCTTTGTTCATATCATCGTTGTTAGCTCGCTTGTTAGACATGTTTGCAGATTTCCCTATGAAATTTTCTATATATTACAATGCTCTGTGATTTGTTCGCCTTATGTATTTCCTGCATATAAACCAAAGTCGTCCCTCTTGATAGCATTAACAGGGAATTGAAATATGTTCTACGTGTCGACAAATGGGCTATTTCTTACACATCTGCTGTACTACCACCTCGTATAAATACATCAGTTATTTACATACATATGTTATTTTTTTTAATCGCCGACATATCGCGGTCATGTGAATACTGTACGGGATATAAATAGGCGACCCTTTGCGGCAAATGACACCTTTTGACTTGTCCTGTGAAAAGACCTTTTCTTTCTAGAGAAACAATTCGAAAAAAAACGTTTACTCCTTCCCCCAACATCTCAGTTGTTTTTTTTTAAAAAGCAGTAAAAATATTTACGAAAAGTAAAAATAATAATAAAAGTAAAGATAAAATAAATAAATAAATCGAATAATCGATGCAGTCTATGTATGTATCTTGAATATTCACCCCACCGTGTATCTAGTTGGATCAATCTGGTCCGTATTCTACTGAAGTAGCAACGTCAACATGTCGGGTGGGAGTAAGAGAGATCAAGCGAGCTCGTCGGACTGGTGGGGCTGGGGAGCTAGTTTGGTGGCAGATCTGCAACAGCAGGTATGTGTGTACATGTGTTGTATGGGTGTACTAATGTACATGTGTTGTATGGGTGTGCTACTGTACATGTGCTGTATGGGTGTACTATGACTTCATGAGATACTTCTTTTGAATTCGGTGTTATGTGATTCATGTAGGTGATTATATGGGAATTATGGAGACACGTATACGTATATAGCTGTAACATGCTTGTTCACATATCGACATGGGTATTTGTGGGTTGTGCCATTAGGCAGATGCACGTCCTAGCGACGCACATCTAGGTATAGGAGTTAGAGACGCACGTGTGGGGTTGAAGCAAGCGTACATAACTGTCGTGACAACAGTTACGAACTAAGTTCTGCACTTCAATGATCGGCATGATTGTGCAAACTGTAAATGGGAGGTGTGTCGAGATAGACTGAGACGTTGGTATGCACACACCTTCAATCAGCGAGTGAATGCTCCTATACAGTTGTGTCTCTATAATTGTGACAGGTACAGGTGTACATCTGTGCTGTTCTGTGTCGATTTAAATTTTGCATATGAAACTTGAAGTTTAGAATATGTCCAAGTAGATGCGTGTGCCATAAGTTGCCTGAGAAGGTTGCTAGGCAGGTGAGCTCATGCACAATGCTGAGTTGTATCTGTGGTATCAGAGTATTCTTAGATAATGACGTTGAGGCTTCTTTTTACCCGTATAACGTGTTTGTCAGACTTATCCCTGTAGCGCAGTTGTACTGAAAACCGAGTTCTTGCCATGTATTTGTCTCTCGAATTGCGAAAAGAGTTTCACAGGTTCAATAGGTTAAGGTTGTGTAAATGTATATGAATTGGTTAGATCAGATTTCTACACCTGTCCTTGGACTGGGTTAGATTTAGGCTTGCCTGTTCTCGTAAGTCCTAGAATCACCCATATCTGCACTAGGCGCCGGGAGTCTATATTCGGACCTAATCTATTTCAACACGTATTCTCGACCCTCGGTGTAGGCTTACATTCGATTACTCTACCCAAGGAAGTGGTTTCTCAATACTCAAAAGGAAGACATACTACATTTCTATGCATACCTCCCCCATTTTGTACAAAGATAGTCTCGGTTGATACACTCGTGCGCAGGTGTTTACGATCTCCGCTCTTTCATTCAGCAATATTAGAGTGGATGCGAGTAGACGCACTCATGCTCACTTGGTGACTGAATTGCTCTGTGACAATCTGTTGTCACTCACGTATAGACCCATAGTGATAGGGCTTACAAAGCACACATAGCAGCAATAACAGAACACGCCCAAAGACTCGAGTGTTGGAGGTATCATATGCACTCATGCCTGAATACAAGCAAACAAACAAACGTCCTATATCACGCATATGTCAATTGAGAGCTTCCATACTACACATCTGATTTGATACTTCTCGTAGAGTGAAAACTCATTCTTCCATACCAGGCGGCTTAGGACCTCTCAAGTGTATGTTTGTCGCTACTAAATTAAACGAATACTTGATTGGCCGTCTTAATTTGGAAGAAGCATTGTACCTCTATAGCCTACACCAGAGAAACTGTGCATTATCTGCATCCATACCATCATACATGCGACACCTGTGTTCCCATCTCTTCCAATGTACTCTATTCCTTCTGCTTGTCGTCATACCCCGATCGAGTAGCACCCCTCATCTATGCCACTCGATACCGCTTACAGCCTGTCGCCTCTTTGTCTTTGCTCGTGTACCATTGTATGCCTACTAACCCCCATCTGTTTTCCTCCAAATCGCTTATATATCTGCGACAGACTCAGGAACTTGTGGAAGCCACCAAGAGCGACCTGGGAGTGTTTGTGGATACCGTCACCACCGAATCGCAACACATCGCACAGGACACGGCCAGTATGACAGCAATAACTATAGCGAAGCGTATGCAAAATACCCTGACTGACGTTGATCTCGTACTTCATACTGTGACACCGGTTCACCATCGGTTTACGGATGTGCGGTGCATTTATCCGTGGTATCGATGTGTCGCTCGTACGATTAGCTTGTTTTGGTTCGGTGACATGTGTCTCTGGTTACAGCAGAAACTATAGCGAAACGTATGCAAAATACCCTGACTGACGTTGATCTCATACTTCAGACACCGGTTCACCATCGGTTTACGGATGTGTGGTGCATTTATACGTGGTATTGATATGTCGCTCGTGCGATTAGCTTGCTTTGGTTCGGTGACATGTGAATCTGGTTCTGTCTTTTGCATGGCCGTTGGCTCCAGGGCCCCACCTGGACTGTATTCTGCTCAATCGCACCTGCTGAGGCTTATGACCTTTGTTTAATCTTTGTATAACCACTGGTAGTATCAGCTATGTTGTATCTGGTTTTACAGAACAAGCAGGCAGTCAGTGGTATATTCAGTCGTATTTTGGCATGGTTATTTTAGCTGCTCAATTCTTCGTGACGGCCCATTAGTCACCTCGTCTTCTGGTGCCACTCAGGCGTGTACATGCTCAGCCACATTTCAGATTCACCCGACTATATTCTTTTCTAGTTGTAAAGCCCTTGCGACAATTGCCTGAGAAGAGCTAGCGTGCCATTGCCTAGTAGCTGGGAAGCCTTCTAGATCGCTGTGCCTCTCTTTTCTCATGCTACCTACCTTACCCATCCATCCCAGTCATATTCCGGTAGAGATTGAAAGGTTTAATGTTTGTCCTCGTGTTCACCATTCCCAGATGTGCCTAAAGAAGCGGAAGAGTTTTTCAACTCGCTCGATCTTCCACAAAGTTCATCCAGACAGCAACGACAGAAAGATCAACCGAAGTATGCGCCACCTCAGGGTGCGAGGGCTTCTCCAGCGAAGAAACCGGTCGCGCGATATACGAGGTGGGTGATTACTGACCTTTTGCAAAGCAGATATGAAGAGCACCTATCTGTCTGTATTTGAAGCCGCTTATTCTGCTGTCCAACTATGGGCATGGGATAAAGTTCTGGTCTGTGGCTATGTATTTCTAGCTCGACGAGTGCCCATGCAGGTCATGGTAATCACCACCATGTGGAAGCTCACTCAGCCACCCACTCACTCACCTTGTATTCATTACAGGCGGGATCTGCACATATTGCAGCTGCAATCCACACCCACCACATTCATCACTGATCCCGAGAACACCGAGGCCTTCCGAAAATGGCAGATAGAAAACCCATTTATGAGCCAGAGAAAAGCCGAAATCGAGACGTTGCGGTCTCAATCCAACAGCATCGCCAACATGGAAGCAAATCTGGTGCCCAATGCAGTCTCATTCGAGGTGTTTTGGAAACGGTATTTTTTTCAGCTGGATATGTTTGATGGGGCAGTGCAGCAACGAGAGGAAATCAAAAGTAAGGAAAATACCCTGGTATCATACATTGAATCTGCTCTACCTCTATCACATTAGTTTATTCACTGATATCTTGAGTTTTACATCGAGGTATGTTTCCACACTTCATAATATATTAGAATTCCAAACTTCTCCGGTGCACGTTCCCGTGGGCAGTGAACAAATCCAATGGGGTATTGCTTGGCGCGGGAAATTCCAAGGGTTGCTGGTCTGTGCGTGTGTGCGTATCTGCTAGATAGCCCTACGTGTGCGATACGTTTGACCGACAGCACGACACCGGTCACCATATTCCCTCAATACTCATTCCAATCGTCTCTTGGTATTTGAATAGTAGTAAGCAAGTAGTCTGCACGTCATGTGTGTGCGTATGCTACTTATGAATCTCTGATCATAGTCTGATATCGAATCGTGTGCACATCTCAGGGGCAATGGAATCCGATCTTCAGAAGAATGATTCCGAGGGTTGGGGTGATGATGACGACGACTGGAGCGACGGAGAAAAGGGCTGGGATGAGGGAGACACCGTCACTGTCAAAGACCCGTTGCCAAGTACGAGTAAAGTTTTGAATACAGAGACAGATACACCACACGATGATGGGTCTCAAATTGAGATCCCGTACAACGCGGCAACGGTGTGTGACCAAGCGATGGAGAGGTCTGATAAAACAAGTGCGGAGTGTGACATTGAGGCAAACGAGCCCGAATTAACAGGAGCGCCAGCGGCCCAATCAGATATTTCATCGGCGATACGTGACACAGTAAACACATCACTAGACACCCCAGCTGAAACGGCGGGCGAAGCAACAAGGGGGCTCGCAAATGAAAGCCCCAACCACGACCCACACCCGCTGCAAGTGACTGGGCCAGAGGATACAGAGGAAGCTGCAGATCCTCATGCAGATGTACATGCGGAGCACGAGCCACAACCGCAATCGCACCTGCAAATACCACAATCCTCGGCACTCGCGTCTGACGGTGTGTTGTCAGCGGGCGACACGGGCAGCGAGCGCGACGACGAGACAAACACTAGTGCTTACGCCTATGCTCACGACATAGAAAGCGAAACTACCGCATTCCCGGGGAGTGAGACTACTGAGCCCGAGTTGGAGACGGATGGCGACCGGAGTGCGTGGGGCGAAGAGAGTGAGGACACATTGTACCCTAATTGGTCGCATGCGGAGGACCAGGGCCAATCGGATGGGAAGAGAGCGAACTCCGCCAATGTCATGGAAGAAATGGGCGGTGACGACCAATGGGACGAGAGTGCGGAGGATGGCTGGGGCGAGAGTGCGGCCGAAGACGGAGCAGCATTGAGATATGTGAACAAGGATGATGGGGATGAAGATAGTGATGTAGAAGAATCGAGGAATACAGTGGATATCCAACAGGAAGATACATTGCGCGGGTCTAAGGCCAACCAGGTCCAGCAGGCAGGGTCAGAGGTGCAAAGCCAAGCACCGGTACAAAGTCCAAAAGTGGACAAGGAAGCAGCAGCGGTCTCAGAGGGATCGGATTCCGATTGGGAGAAATGGGAGTGATCCAGGCTGAGTACATCAAAGTGCAAGCGCGGAAACATACGCGCTGCTACCCCAATTGGCCTGCTTCTGCTATTGATGGGTGTGTGAATTGAATACTATCGGCATATACACCCATTTATCACTCTATACATCAATATTGACAAACAAAGGTATCTTCAATGCACACGTAAGAGACATACAAGCATATTTTCTTACCTACGTGGTGATTCTCGATGTATATGCCAACGTGTACATATTCTTTGAGGCCGGTAGATGAGTATGTTCATTTTATTGATATTTGAGCCCATTCTGGCGCAATCAATAGGATTTAACGAAATCTATATACACCCATACACTTCTATGCGCGTTCGAGTAGTCCATGCGTCACAGCGTACAGTTGTGCACGTTCATGCTTCCTTTTCTGTGTCCACTAACTATGATCAATCATGCATATATCCGGCTTGGTAAGGAGTATCAACTACAATGTAGCTTCGCTCACATTTGTATCCACAAGATTTCAATAATTGATGCACGCTCAGTATATTCACTTAGATTTTGTGAATCTGAGCAGAAGAAAGAGGCTGAAGGGCTGAAGCAAGTAGCTTAGAAATCCGACGACCACAGTCAATTGTAGTAGAAGCTTAAATGTTTACAGTCGAAACTTCAGGGTCTCCGGGTGAATGAGTTTCCCGATTGTGGCAGGTACTATTGAAATGGCTGAGTATAATATTTGTGATGAATACATGACCTCGAAACACTAATTAAGAATACACGAAGAACACAAAAAAAGCAATACTATTGAATATGCATAGTAGTTTGCCCTAGTTAGCCATATTTTATATCTATTCGGTTGATAGGCCGGTGCCCGTTTTATTTTGCACACCTCAGTAATATTCTCTCATTAACGAAGCCCAACCAGTGCAGATAGGAATGTACACACATCAACTAAGAGAGCACGGAAAATGATGTTGTTTCCGTTGTGACTATTAGTGGTTGAAAGCTCAACCATACAAACTACACGCAAAGAAACGATTGTTTGTAAGTACTGATATTAAAAAGAATACTATACATAAACTAAATAAACCAATACATATTTGCAATTCTCATGTTATATGTGTACACGTACAAATGTCAACGAATAAATTCTGTTTTGCGGATCATATTTCTGTCACAATTAGAATATAATCGCATGGTTGAAGAAAAAGAAACCCCCACAGATATAATATATTACCCTGAGCTGGATCACAGGAAATATCCACCTTGAAGTCCAGGCGCGAATAGAAACGCTTCACCTCAAATTGGATTGTATACATTCGTGTGTGTACATCGTGGCCCAAGTATAGTACTATTTGCTTGAAAATTTGGAGATGAACCTAACAAAGCACGACGACAATTCTAAACAAACCAGCGCCTAAAGTACCGTGTTCTCGTACTTGAAAATTTGTAACCAGTCATGTGCACCTTTATTTATAGAATAAACATGCGGTTAAAGATCGTCTCCAGAGATATGTGCATATGCATGTAAGTGTACAGGTGTACGTGAATATCACAACATGCGCGTTGAGAACACGTGGTGCTTTGAATGAATCAATACAATACCAGTGCGTCATATACTATGTTTGCTTACGCAAAATACAGATATATCTAAATCAATAAACTATCCTTGTACAACCAAACAACACAAACACTGCAGAGCTATGCGATTTCATTTGAAATCCACAAGAGTATCATATCTCCCTTAATTGACCACAATCGTCGAAAGCGTTCGTATCATCTACTCCACGGGCTCTACATTCTCATAGTGACGACTGCCAGGAGAACCCAGGACGGTTATTCGTTGATACTCTTTCGTTGATACCCTAGTGTTGTGCATGCATACTTGATCAACACTACCACTCAAATGCGAAATCAGTTATGAGCACAGCGTCATGGGCGTTATCCATGACAAAGCACTACATGTTTCATATAGTATGTCATAGTGATCTGGTCTGTACAACAGCGTGATACTGTCCTCCGCGTCATCGGCATCTTCCCTGCCGATGTCATGCACATTGCACTCGTCCCCGGTCGACTGATCCAAGTGCACTATCTTCAGCCTAATCTTCAAATACCGACACAGTGCGGCTATTTGTATCTGAAGGCAGAGCAGGAGAAGGGTGAACGGGTCAGAAGCACTGTGTGCCAAAGGTTGCTTACGCACAGATTGCCATGTGAGAATGGGTCACTGTTTGCTAAAGGGTGCTCACATATATATTGTAAAGGATGCTCACGTATAGATTGTACGTCAATGATTTCTGAGTGTGCTGACACACGAAACAAGCCTTGCATATGTGTAGTTGTAACCGGTGACATCAGACGCACATACATTATCTGCCTCTTTGCCGTAGCATTCGACTTGAGTGTTGCAAAACTTCTCAACTGTCGTCCCATCCTCCAGAAAGTGGATATACTGTAGAATACGCATCAGAAACACCTTGTGAGTAAACTGTAGAATAAGCTCGAAAAAAGCCTCGTGAACAGTCTGTAGAGTGAGCTCAAGGAAGGACTTAGTGAGTAACGGGAACGAAAATTGGTATACTACATACGTGTTGAGCCAATTGATTTCATGCAGAGCCTTGCGATTGCATCGGCAGTGGGTGCCTACTATTTGCAACTGCCAAGTGTGAAAGACTGCGCAATACACCTTTGCCTAGGTTGCACCGTAACTCTGATGTACTTTTTTATATTGCAGCGTAGCACTTCACATCAGAATGCGAACATGATACAATAACAATGTTGTCACAGAGTATGTTACGGAAAAATCGTATCCCGGACTGCCAAGTTTAGGGCATCACACCTTTGCGACCAAAGAGGATAACTGGTACCATACAAAAATCGAGGCAATACGAGTGAGTGCTGTAGCCGGGCGCTGTGCTATGCAAAACACCTTACAGCTGAGGCGCTAGAGGATTTTGTACCCAGCCAAGAATGAACCAATATTGTACAGTACCAAACGGCTGGACTTGTGAGTATCCGGCAAATCTATATTGACACCAGTGAGATGCAAAACAGTATGATGATTGAAAAGAACTATGATCACTACGGCAGCATACTGTGTGTGTACCACTCTATAGGGCAACCCGCTGTTTGGCTTAGACGTTGAACAAGCTGCTGGTAGAAGACCAAACGGGACAGCAAAAATCGGGTATAACAGTACCCTGTCGATGGAATATTACCTAAAAACAAATCAGGGAATTCGTGCAATACAAGTCTACACAATGACAGCCCAGTAACTAAGATGTATGACTACCTAGGGCATAATAAATACAATGAATACTAACATATTGCTCTACAACTGTCAACAGAGCACCTCTCCTTGAACGCTGTATGTTATATCGTACCTCAGATGCATTGGTCCGTAACTCCACCGCGGTCATAAACCTGTAGTACAATCCTATGGCATTCGACATCTCGCTGTCGTTGAAGAGCTCATGCACCCACTGACTGTCCTTCTCCTTCACTTGCATCCAGCTCTCCAGAGTAGCCTCGTAGAAGTCTTCGAATACATACTCCTGGAAGCCTGCCTCGATCAGAGCCTGTAATCGCAGCCGTAGGCACCCAGTGGGTACCACACGTAATTGACCACATTATAGTGAGTACCACACGTAATTGACCACAATATGAAAACCACACGCACTTGACCACATTATAGTGAGTACCACACGTAATTGACCACACTATAGTGAGTACCACACGTAATTGACCACATTATGAGTACCACACGTACTCGACCACATTATAGTGAGTATCACACGTATTTGACCACATTATAGTGAGTATCACAGGTAATTGACCACATTATAGTGAGTATAACACGTATTTGACCACACTATAGTGAGTGTCACACGTAATTGGCCACACTGTACTGTTGTTCAGTAGCTTTGCATTCATCTCTCCAGCTACGAGCACGCAACATACCGGCTTGCTCTTCACTATTTGCACCTGGCAGCGTTCTTGCAGTGTCTGTGATTCTGTTTGCAGCAGTTTCTCATGCAAGGCATAGCTGACAGCTCTGTATAAACAGTTGCCATCTCTTCGACACCTTCGAAAGCTCTTGTAAGTCTTTGACAGATTCTGTGCACAAAGTAACACGCGATTAGATCAGACAATAAATGTGGCTTAGATAGTTTATCTATTCATACACTCATAGCTACGTGCTTTATAACTGCAAGAAACCAGACAATGCACCCCTTCAAAGGACTGAAAATGTCCTCAACTATCGATCCACGTATCGGCAAAAAAGCTATTAGAGGAAGACCTTCAGTAGAACAACTTCTGAGATCATGTCTTTGAAAGTCAAACCGCCAAGAATTGATGTCGAGAGCCAATTGATCTTCTGCACAAGTGTGGTCCAAAAAGTATGGCAAACGACAGTGTACAAGCATAGACAGCCGCGCCAACCCATATCACAGCACTAAATATATAGTGCCAAACTGTAGACACAGCGATATTTAAAGAGGAACTTGCAGATAGAATACAACAGACAACTACACACGGTATCAAAACTCTGTCAATCCCGTGACCTCACGTGTGTACTGATATCTCACGCTTATATACACACGCTTAGCTCCACTTGCAGATACACAGCGCACGTGCACATGCATATACACATTACCACAGGGTATACCAACCTCTATTTTGTTCACGTACACAGCCGATCCATCCTCATATTCCTTCGCCAATTCTCTGATATCCATGGGCACACTCACCATGGGGTTTAGCATCTGGATAGCCTCTAAGGTTTCTCTCTGTGAGCGATTGAGTGTATGAGGCCAAAGTAGAGTTTCGGTATCAGTTGCTTCTAAGTTTTCTCTCCACAGGAACCATAAACAAGATAGATCTAAACGATGTCACAATTTGCTTGCTCTTAGACTTCTCTGATCAGAATGAGATTCGAAATGTTTCAATGTGCATGTGATGAATACAGAGACAATTCCCAGTGATAATGTCTTTATATCCACAACACTGAACTTTAAGTCCAGTGTGAGAAAATAGCAAACGATAGCTTCAAGTTGTCATACTAGATGCTTCGATGTGACGATACGAATAGAGCAGCGTTGGTTGGGGCGTAGGTGGGCTCACTAACAAAACACAGCGCTGATAGCGGCTTCAGGTATGCAAAGGCTCTGTGTGAACACGATCAGTCTTAGACGACACCACCAAACACTTTCTTGAGGGCATGTGCATATATCAGTGATGCTTTTATATATGATAAGAAGGTGTGCAGAGATGTGCAACTGTATGTTATAGTGTACATGAGGTTGGAACGTGTGTTGGACGGGGATGCTGAAAGTAAGCACAACATCTTACATGTATCCTTTTACCACAAGCACTTCTGCAAATATATTGCCGAGCAAAAATTCTGAGACAATCCGAAAATGGTCTGTATCATTCGATCGTTTACTTGCTTTGCCCTTGCTTTACATCGATGACGTGTTCAAGGTCAACAGGAACGAATCCTATACATGCACTCCTATGCACACTACAACATACTTGCTTCAGGATAGCTTCATCCGACGGTGTGGCCTCCATCACGTCAGGTCGTGCAAGTGAGAGACGTACTAAGTGTCTCTGCTACGTGTATGCACGTAGTTATAATCTATGCCACTTGTATGCACGGAAAGCTACAGGATATACATCAAATATATACTACAACTCAATATTATTCATATGTAAATATACCCGTCATCATATACATATTCATTTATTTATAAATTTATTTTGATGATAAACATCTATGTGTCATCAATATTTGACACCTTCCCGTTCAATCCTGGCCCACTCCAGATATCAGAAATATGCACTCATATATAAGTACACATACATGAGGTACACAATCTACTATGTACGTATAGACATCATACACTGTCCCACGAATATTCTTGTGTATACTTCTGTGCCAGGAATATATAGATACATACGCTTCATCATAGCCCCATACAATAAACCGTATAAGTCAACTCAAGCAAGATAAATTGTAAACTACCGGTGCCTTATGCAAACAACTTATTACACTTGAACACGCCAACGAAGCTGAAAATTTACAAATCATGGCCGTGTTAAAGAACATCGTCCGTGGAGTGAGCTCTGTGAGGTCTGCCGAGAGTGTGTTGCGTGGGCATATCAAGGTGTTTGGACCCGTACCAGGTAAGTACACTATACATACATTCACACACACACACACACACACACACACACACACACACACACACACACACACACACACACACACATATATATATATATATATATATATATATATATATTATATATATATATATATATNTATNTGTATNTNTATNTATNTAGTGTGTGTGTGTGTGTATGTNTA